TGGTTCTTCGAAAACTGTTCCAGTCTTCTTTTTTCCCCGTTAAAGGTAAATTGAAAAGCACCACGAATTGGTGAAAGAAAAACAGGAAGTAAGTGTTCCTGGAACACTTCCAATCTTTGGTCTTTTTTCCCGTTAATTCATTAAAAAAAAAAAGGGATTACATGAAACAGACATAACCAGCACAAAGAAAATATACAATTAAAACCAACAAGAAAATAGAAAGAGAAAATATGTGTTAGGGTGTAGAAACAAACGGTTTCAAATCACTTTAACCTGCAATTAGCTGTCCGAAAGGTGACAAAAAAAGTGGAGCAATCAAATCGATGACCAGAATAATTCCCAATCTTTACCAAACTCTGAACCTGAGTGTTCCTTGTAATCAAGTGTTTGCCATTCTCGGGTAGTCTCCAGCTTATCTCTCATTTCCCATTTATAGTATGATGATTATCGGCTCACTTTTGAATGTTCAATCTTCTTTGATTTACTTTTCCAAGAGGGAACTTCACTTTGGGGACCATTCGTTGAAAAATAATAATCTTTGTGGTTCGTAAGTTGGTGAAGATTTTGATCAATTCTTCTAAAACGTGAGGTATCGGAAGTAAATAGGTATAGCATTATATTAGGATCCGCGTTTATAGACGGATAAATATATTAAAAATTATTAATCTTAAATTTTAATTTTAATTAGTAACCCATTAAAGTATAAAAATATTTCTAATATTTAAACACGGTTCTTAAACCATTAAAGTTTAATTCATATTTTAATTCTCATGTCTTAATTCATATGATGGAGATCCAAAAATATATATACATAAATGGAATTCAAATCATATTCTTAATAATAAAAATAATATTCTTACCCATTATGAATTTATATTAACTATATAATAAAATCTTATAACAATTAAAATATCATAGAGTTAAATCATAAATCAATAAATTTATATGAATAATCTCATAAAAACCGATAAAATATTTTATAAATAGTTTTATCAAACATTATGAAGAAATCTATGACTGATAAATGTCATTGATGTCATCGGTTTATTTTTCATAGAGATCAATAGTTCATGTATTATTCGGCTAGCCAAAATAGTTCATGTATTTTTTAAATTAAGTTCGGATATTTTTCAGAAATTTTCCCATTTATCTTCTATATATTTGATTTCCCGCGTAATTATCTAGTTTATTTATATGATAAAATCCAAGTCAGACAAAAAGAAATTATTTTGCTAAAATCATATAATTCAACTCCTAAATTGAAACGATCGTCATATAAAAATCTCTTGTAAATTAATCAAAACATAGATTTATCATTAATATCATCAATTATTGACATAAAGAAACAATCTAGTACTTAGTGGTAACCCTCTACTCAATAGTTGTGAGCTACATAGAGACCTCTCATAACATAGTTGATGAGCAAAGAAACTGTTTTCAATCACCGGAAAGCAAAAGAAGATAAAAAGAAAATGGTTTCAAGGAATCATCATCTCTGGATAAAATGTTGTATTCTTTTAGCTATATTCATGATCGTGCAGGCTCAAACTAACCGGAAACATGAGGATAACTCTTATTTCAATCCTCCATCGATGGAATCTCGTCAAGCTTCTTCTCACCGTTCACTTGGTGCTGAGTTTTACGAGAGATCACCGCCTCCACCACCACCAAAGAAAACTAAAAAAGACGAATCCGAAACAACCGGAATATGAACCATTGAGATATGAGCATTGGTCGTGGAAAAGACTGTTGGTTTTTATGTTTTTGAGTCGGTTATGTTATTGCCATTTCTTTCTCTTTGTTTTCTCAAGTTATTAGTATGTGTTCTTCTTTTGTTTTTACTTTTAAACCTTTTGGTGACAATAAAGGTTCGATGATTGTTTCAAATTTAATGTAGTGTTTGTATCTGCTCATCAAAGCAAATCACAAATTATTTTTTTTTTTCATCACGCGGTCTTTGTGAAGATGCGAATGAGAAGTAAAAAAATTGTCGAAATTTTTTTCGAAAATATATAGACGAAAAGTGGTCACAATATTCTGACCATTTTCCGACATAATTTCTGACGACATTAATAGAGTAAGAAAGTGATCGGAAATTTCCGATTACTTTCTGATCATTTGTTTTCGTATAAATTTTCTTACCATTTTCCAATCACTTTTTATATTCTTCAAAAAATGGTTAGAATAAGATCATAATTATTTTTTACCATTTTTGTCGGTTGGAAATATGGTCAGAATTTGATATATTTTCTTGTAGTGATTATTCATTAAAACATTTATTTTGGTAGATGTCAATATTCGTAAACATATGAAACCTTGCCAGGGAGGAATTTGTTAAAATTCCACAAGGAAGATGTATGGATTTCGGTCCAAAACTCCTCAATTAACCAAATATCAAAAATGTATATCAATAAATTTAGTTACATACAATCTATATTAAGCAACAATTTCTATCCACCACGTGTTGGTCTAGTCTATCGTTATCTTAAAGTTGTTTGTCTAGTAATTTTCCAATACGCTTGTAAGAAAAATTGCATTCACATTTTGACAATCGTAAGATATACAAAAAATCACAGAAGCAAGGGGCGAATTTCGTAACAGAAGCATATATATTGACAATACGTAACAGAAAAATGTAATTAAGATTGGAATACAATTTCCTGTTTACCAGTAGCCACACAAAACCAGCTTTGGTTCAATATTCGTCCAAGTAAGTGTAAAGCGTATCGTCTTTCTTGGTTTTGCGTCGGCTAAGCAACGCCTTAAGCAGCCGTTTGCTCTTGCTCGGTTGTTGTTGCTGCTCTGGTTCTTTCTGGGCTTCTTTCTCAAACGCAACCCGAACCGAAGCCGATCTTCTCGGTTCTGACGGATACTGAACCAAAAAAAATCAAGAATCAAAACCGGTTAAGCTCGAAACGTCCAAAATCAGGAAAGATAGAGCCTAAGGAGTTTTCTTGAAATGTAACAGAAACTTTACCCGTTTAGGCGTTATCGCTCTACTCTTGACCGGGGTTGTTGGCCGGCTGATTGATGACGGTCGGATGGCAACCGAACCAGATCTTAGAAGCGGAAACCGATGCGGTGATACCGCTCGCTTATCTGGTTTACCAAACACACAATTAAAGGTCTATATTAATCCCAAAACAATGTTTCACACTAGAGCTGTTTTTTTTTTACCTTGTTCTTTCTTTGGTGCTGTGGAGATAGAAGAGAACGAAAAGGTTGCTGAACGTTGAGGTTTCCGTGGAGACGGAGACTGAAGTATCGGTTTCCTGCAAACAACAATAAGCATAGACATCAAAGTTTGAAACTTTCCGGTCAATTAACAAGGGGACTCACTATGAATACCGAACTTTACCTAACTGGTGGAGGAGGCGTTTCCCGAATTGTAGCACGAACAGCTTTAGGACACAAGAAACAGATCAAATTAAGACTCAGGTCAGGAAGAAAATTTAAATCTTAGACAAGTAGATGAAATGGCAGGTTATACCATTTCGGAATTGGTTCAAGTCCTCTTCTCCATCAAAACTACTTTCAACATGCTTGAGCTTTGCAAGATTGCCACCCCTCTTGATTTCGCCCGCTGATAGAGAATTTAGCTTTTGGTAGTGAGTCCCAAAATCGACAAATAAGAGAAAGCAAGTTTGCTGAAACGCATAGAGAGAAACTTACAAGGTAAGACGTATCGCTTGTGGAACTTTGGAGTGTCGATCACGAGTGATTGCTGCGAGCGACCTTCATGATCCATATACTCTTGGCACATCCGTAGCCTCTGCATAATATATAAGAAAACTCAGTAACCCAAACAAGAAATCAAAAACTAAAGCAGTAACAACGGTCCATATACATTGATACCTGTTCAATGCAAGATACTCGTAGCTCGGTTCCTGCTACTTCATCGACTTTGTCATCAACAAAATCATTGACTTTATACGTAACAGAGCCCAAATGGTCAACCGTGTTCACCAAAGCCTTTATCGCATAATCTTTAAGTGTCTCCACAACTCTGCATAAAGACGAAAACTCGTTAAAACCAAAAATAAAGAAGTACAATGACAATCAATCTGAGCTGTAAACCACAGAGCATTCAAAAATAGAACAAATAGTAGCGAGAGGAATAAACTCACTCACGTCTGTTTTTGTGCATCATTTGTGTAGGATAGTTCGAAATACTCAGCTGCTGAATACAACTGTGTTCTCAGATTCTTCAGATCCTGTAAAAGAAAGATGTCAAATAAAGAAAACAAAATTACTAGACATCTTATTCTTGCTAATAATCAGACTAATTCGTATAACATGGAAAGAAAAAAATTGTAGATTTTAGCAATGACCACAAGACCCACAAAGATTGTTCAACTTCAGGATTTAGAATCTACCTTAAGACCATCAGAGAAGAGCATACTCTGGTGCATAGAGGTCTCATCGTAGTTAGATGCTTCTCGGGGCATGGGCATTGTAGCCGCTGCACTCATTTTGATCAAAGATTAACAATGGAATCTCAAATCCCGTTCTCTCTTTCACTGTGGAAATGGAATGATTAAATAAGAATGAAGAAAAGAAACTCAATCTTCAGTGATTTTGTATTAGACCAAACCAATGCGCTTGGTAACTAAGACGAGAGACTGATATTCTAAGTGTAACATAAGGCAGTGAGATTAAAGCTGAGAATGGAAACAAGTTTATAGTACAGGAGACATCGGCTAGCAAAAATATATGAAACTAAAGCACCTAAAGATTCTCGATTAGATCCATATGAAAGCACGAGTCGCGATCCACTTAGTCCAAACAACAGATTTCAAATCAGTGAATTCTCATCTCCTCCAGAAGTTGTTGAGTATTTTGGTTCACAGATCTCGGAATATCTAACATTTTATAGGTTTTTTAAAGGGTATTAATATATGATTCTGTGGATGTTTAAGGT